ACTTCAGTGATTATGTTTACAACTATATAACAATAATTAAATTTTTATTTAAAAATAAAGAAACTCTCTTAGAGCACAGTACTGGAACAATAATTATACATTTATATATGGTTGGCATTTATCTACCTGCAATGTAACAAAACATTTAACACTTTTGACAGGCAAATGAAACAGCTGGGTTGTCACCTGGGGTACACACTGTGAAATATGCTGAAAAGTGTGCACAACACAGAAAGAGGTCATCGGAAAAGTCAATGTTACCTTCAACAAAACGTAGGCGTCTCATTTTAAAGCAGGAACGAGCTATCACCCAGGGTGCTCAAGAAGCCTTAGAGGGAATTTCCTATCAATCAGGTACTTACAAACTCTTCTTATCTTATATTAATGGATTCCAACTCAGTTTTCATGAAAATTATAAGCTTATTTTTGTGTTAGAATAACTTCAACTCTGCTTTTCATCATATGAGAATACATCTGTTGTTAGAAAATGAAAATGGTTGATGCCCATGTCAGAAGGTGAATATATAAAAAAAAATACAACAGATTTAAATGGTTTTCTTCAAAATAATTCAGCTAAAGATTCTGAGGTGATGAATGATAAGGAAAACATCAAACTGTTTGCCATACTTTAAACAAAAGAATGCATTTTTATTTTATTTTTTGTCATAGGCATTGGTCATGAACATGATGTTGATGTAGACAAACTTCCCGATGCAGTTCCTCGAGGAGATTTTAAACCTGTGGTATACACTCCCTCAGACCAAGCTACATTTGTTACATTTGATTTAGAGACTACAGATCTAAGTAAGTAATTGCTTTTATTCTAAAACACCATCAACATACTTTACTTAGGGGCGTCCGTGGCCGAGTGGTTAAGGTCGTTGACTTCAAACCACTTGCCCCTCACCGCTGTGGGTTCGAATCTCGACAGGGACTTTGGATTCTTATATGTGAGGAAGCTATCCAGCTAGCTTACAAAACGTCGTTGGTTATACTCAGGTACCCGTTCGTGCCAGAAATAATTCAGGGAAGGGCACCTGAGGTCTTCCTCCACCAGTAAAGCTGGAATGTCGCGATGTGACCTATACTGTGTCGATGTGATGTTAAACCCAATACAAACAAACAAATATTCTTTACTTATTGTTTAGACTAGAGATTATTGTAACAAGGATACTTTCATAGTGAAGTTTATTTTCTTGCAACAAATGTACTGTTCTTTAATGAGGTTGTCGCTGTAAAGAGGGCCATTTTATATATTTTACACAGTAAACACCTCATTCTTATCAAAAAATGAAGGCTTATCATTTGATTGGTTTTATACTTCACAGGATTCTATTAAAAATTTTATTATGAAACAGATTATGTATGTATTGCACTCTATGAATCTATGGTGTTTTATATATTTTCAGTCCGTGGAAGTATCATTCCTCACATTACACAGATATCAGCAATAGATTACGACACTGGTGATACCTTTGATAAGTATGTAACACCAAAGATGCCAATAACAACAACTGCGCAACAAGTGACTGGCATTGTGGTTACTGATTCATTTATGAAGGTTCATGGAACTTTAGTGGAATCTTTGCCTATCAAGGAAGCCTTACATCAGTTCATAAAATGGCTAGAAAGCAAGTCAAATGTTTTCCTTATTGCCCACAATGGTAGGCGGTTTGACTTTCCCGTCCTCTTATCTGTTTTAAAGACAGTGGATTTTCTAGATTCTTTTTACTATTGTACCCTGGGACTTATTGACACTCTTCCAGTTTTTAAAAAGGTTTTTCCTGGTGAATCCCATAAACAAGAAGATTTAGTGGTTCGTCATCTTCATACTACGTATAGTGCACACAATGCTATAGAGGATGTTACATTTTTACGTAAACTCCTTATGTTTACAAAGTTGTCAAAGCAGGAAATTATCAAATTCAGCTTTTTCACCAAAAGCCATGTACAATTCACTTATGTTTAACAGGGAGAAAGCCAAGAATATCAGAAGTTTAGATATCCTGATTTCAAGTGGTATTTGCAAGTTAGCCACAGCAGAGAACATAGCTGGGTCTGGACTAAACTTCAATCATCTTCAGAGAATATACTCACGTGAAGGAGAAGATGGACTTCTTAATACCTTTACAGTTAAAAATTCTGAATGTCAACCCAAGAGTGACAAACTCAAAACGTGTTCTAGAAGCTGTAATACCTAAACTGGTAGACTTATTTAGGAAAAGTGAGTGAACTGTAAATCAAACAGGAAGACTTATGGAAAAGTGAGTGACATTACATATAGAACTGTAAACAAAGGACCACAACTACCCGTATTGTCAGTGTTATATATATTGTTATTTTTATGATACTATATGTTGAAGGAAAATAATGATTGAGGATATTAGTTTTTTCTGAGTGAATATACTATGTAACACAATGAAAGATGAGAGAAAATTGCAATTTTTTTACGAGTGCCTAGCACAATTGAGAATTTGAATATTTTTTACTTTGATGTGTGATTAATATCATTTTCACTCAAACAAACAAGTCATTTTTATATTTTATTTTAAAAGTTAGGAAACCAGCAATTTTTAACAGTTTTCATCATAAATGGAAACAAATTTATGCACGTAAAGATGATACACTTTCAGGTGCCCACACTTTCAGGTGCCCGCTGAAACACTGCTCAAACCAAGTAGTTTTGAGTTTATAGTTATCATTATGCTGTTGTTTATAATTGTATTTGTGTAAATCATAAGTTTGGAATCAAGAAATGTACCATTATGAAAATACAAATCAATGACATTCTATGTAAATTTACAAATTTTTGAAAATTAAATTTTTTCAAAAAAAGTTTGGTAAAGCTATATCAGTCACAGTGTGCGTGATATCCATGTACAATGAGGATATATATTTTATTTCACAGATTAAAGCAAGTATTTCACTGATAAGCATTTAATAAAATAATAATTAATTATTTATTAAACTAAACAGAATGAAGACACATAAGTTTGTTAATTATTTTAAGATTTTTTTTAATGAAATTATGTCATGTTATCCCATTAGAACAATTTGTAGTGAAGACTTTTTAACTTGGAAAAATAGAAAACTCTTTAAATTTTTTCTTTATTGTTTCACAAAACAATTATTACATAACTTATATTTTAGAAATGCAGAGAGTGAATTTATTCTCTCTTTTTTGGGTAAAAAATCAATTTTAGTTTTTTTAAGTTACGAGTCGGCAAATTTAACCTTCTCAAATGTTTTTTTTTTCTTCTGGAAATATTTTGTCGGTAAAAGTTGTTCATTTTTTTATATACTTCACTGGATATGATATAGATAAAATGTAAATCAATATTTTTGCATGCACTATTCTGCTTTTCTATATTTTTTACTTTGTTTATGTGGGTCGGACAAAAAATATGCTCAAAATGACACATTTTAGAATTTCAGGAATATACTTAAAATACATTTAGATTGAAATGCTTGATTATATATCTTTGTTTACTGTATAAATTTATTGTATGATGTCTTCTTAACTTAAAAATAGTAAATATATAACATTTTGAATGAAAAAAAAATTTTTTTTTCGTTTTGAACATTTGCTGGTGGTCGTCCATTTTGCCTCCTCGGACTTGATACAAGTTTTAGCGAAATTTTCTTATTTCTTTGTAATTACACGGTCAAAACTTCCTTAAAGTACACAAATAATGTCCTGAATGCATTGAAATAAGAAAATTTTCCATTTGAAAAATATGCTAAAATTTTCAATTAGGGGCCTAATACCTTAAGGTCGTTGACTTCCAACCACTTGCCCCTCACCTTTGTGGGTTTGAATCCCAACAGGGAGTCCGGACTTTGGATTCTTTCATGTGAGGAAGCTATCCAGCTAGCTTAAGGAACGTTGATGGTTCTACTCAGGTGCCTGAAATAATGCACAGAAGGGCACCCGAGGTCTTCCTCCACCAGTAAAGCTGGAATGTCGCGTTATGACCTTTACTGTGTCAATGTGACGAAAAACCCAAAACAAACGAACAAACAAAACCCATTTATATACTTAATGGTGTTCTGATGAGTTGGTCGGCATTGCCTTTCATTTAATTGATATAAATTGTGTGTAAAACAATTACTACAAAAGTTACATTGATTTTCATAACATCATGTTTTGTTAAGACAATTTAAATTAAAAAAGAAAGAAAGATAAGATAATCTTGAAAATCTTAGAAACCCATTTTTATAAAGCCATGCATTAATATGAAAATTCTTCTAACATTTGTGATATTAGTTTATTGAATGAGTTATGAATAGTTATTAAAAAGAGATGATCATTAGAAAAGATATTGTCATTTTATTTATCATTTGTCACTAACCATATTGTTTGAAATAAATTTGCAACTATGAATGCACAGATACTGCATTTGGATATACTTTGATGTCAATTAATTTAAAGCGCCCCTTGTAGCTGAGGGGTTGCCTTTAATAGTTGTGGCAAAAGAATTGCAGCCACCGATTATCCCTGTGTGATCGTATGAGGCAAATGAATGGATTTGAATAACTGTAGTCTTCAGCAAGTGAGGTGGTTTTCACCACTGGTGTTGCTTTTCAGTTTGTATCACCTGAGGTTAGTCAAAATCATCTTTTCTGTTTCAGCGCCATATGACATATACTGTGTTGATGCTCCGTAAAACCAAACAAACAAGATATCATTTATAACCATTACATTTTCAATGTTGTTACTGTACTTTTTGATGACTTTTAAGATCCTGCAAAATTATAACTATTTGTGGGGCACTAATTTTAGTTGATAGGTCTATCCATGGATTTTATTTTGTCTACTGTAAGATTATCTTTGTGCTACATCTTGTATATTAGTTTCATTTTCATATATTGTAAAATCAGGCATTCCATGAATTAAAATAACAACATGGAAATGCCTTTTTTTGACAAGAACATGAAATTTCAACCCTGCAAAATGAAATCAAGTGTATAATTCACAGTACGATGTTTGTTTGTTTCAGACATAGAAATGGCTGAGGAAAGTAAGGATATTAAGAAGCTTATAAAGCTACAGAAACAGAGACCAGCTTTCTCACGGATGATTTCATGGGAGATAAGTCAAGCTGCAGAATACCAGCCTGTCAAAAAAGGCAAACGGAAGAAGAAAAAAGTAATTATAAATGAATTTTTATGCTATTTTTGTTAAGGACAGTTTAAGAATATGGCAATTTTTTTCAAAGACGGATTATTTGAAGACACTTTTCACCTTTGATTTTTATCATCTTTTTGCAGAGACTGAGAAACATAACTTGTCAGTGACAGTTCTTACTGACACTGCATGTTAACAGTTAGTGAATCAAAAGCCTTGTAAAAATTCAAGAATTTTCTCATTTCAAAAAGGGGAATATTTCCACAAAATACATGTACCATGCTAGAAAAATGAATTTTTTGGTCACTGAGCTTATGCATGTCCCTAGAGACTTATGTAAAGTGAATACATGAAGTGGTTGTCAAGATAAAACTTACTTGCAATACCTTAACCAGAATTCTTTTCATTCCACAATGAACATAATTCAATTGTAGGAAGAGTAATTCGTCATGGATAGTGACCAACATTTATTATCCCAATAAATTGTTTGAAGTTTTAAATCTATACCTGTAGTGAAATATTTAATTGCATACAAAATCTAAGCGAAGTTTCAGGTCTCAACACAGTATTCTTCAGATTGTTAATTTAACAAGCTATTTGTACTGTTATTATAAAAACTGCTGTTTCTTATTTCATTGAAAGCCTACTGAAATGCATTTCTTTAAAGTTAGCTGGTTTTTGTTAATGTTTTCAGACCCTAGCTCCAGGCTCTGAAGAGCATGTTAAGAAAGGAGATGATGGTAATGCAAGTCCTGATGATATTGAGGAAACTGTTGATGACAGTAGTGAATATGAGACTGCCTGTGAAGAAGAGGGAGAGATTGAGGTCAGAGGTCAGAGTGTAACAGAATCTGAGGATCAGTTAGAAAGTATTGGTTCAGATATATTAGATTCCTACTTAGATACTGATTGTGAAAATGAAGAGGATGAAGAAGATGAACTATTTATGTCTTGTATTGGAAATGATACAACAGCTGTAAGGTCACCTGGAGAGCCTGATCAAGGAAGAAGAAGACGTCCTTCAAAGAAACAGAAAAGAAAAAGGAGAGATCAGGCTAAAGTAATATATTTAGATGATCTTTTTAATCTTGGAAACTTGTTTGATGCTACTGATGAAATAAGCGATGTTTTCACTGAAGTATTAGCAGCAGGACCAGATGTTGAGATCCAGCATAGAGTTCCAACACTTGTTGAATTGTGTCTTAAAACAAATAGGAGAAAGCATAGATATAATTCTGAAAAGGGCAAGAAAAGAACCAATACACTAGAAAAAGAGGCCACTATATTACCATACGGAATGAAGAAACTTATATCGCAGTGGGGATGGAGCCAGAAACAATTGGAAAATCAGTTATCTTTCTTTTTAAATAAAGTATTACCTTTAGTGGAAAACCAAATGAAAGCTAAGGCATATGTTGAAAATAGTAAAAGTGAGACAGATTCTTCTGAAACACCTAAGCCTTTTTTTTCCCCGAAGAAGCATATGGGCTGTTTTACCATTTGCCCCACGAAAGAGTATGTTAGAAAATGGGGCCTATGGAAGTGAGAGGACCCCATCATTTTTATATACTGTATCTTTCCAGTTATCACACGGACATTGATAACTTCCATTATACATATTACAACTATTATGTTTATGACAATGTCACCTTGAATTACGCTATGTGGGGTGAGTATTATGTATTTATTAACTTTTCAATATAAGGCACATTTTCACTTCAAATGTAAGGCTAATATGAAGTTCATCACAACATTATGATTATTAAACAAGGCCATTACGCAAAAAGTACAGACTTTGTAAGAAAACTCAACTATTATGAGATTAGAGAATTTTGATTGGCTCTCCAGCTTGGCCATTATGAATATGCCTTTTTTTTTTTTTTTCATTGTAAAATAAGTTATTATTATATATAACATTATTCTCTCAAAGAAACATACAGAACATTTATCAATATAAACGTCAATAAAACAACGTTTTCTTATATTCATTTTGTGCTTTCCATTTTTGTAAGTTAATCGGGGGATTAAACTGAATGACAGATTCTATTTGTTTACATTGACAACTGTCCGTTTCTAAGAAAGGGCAACAACCAAGATAAGCAGCGATGTCTATACGCCGTATTGCCGGCATAATTACTTGAATGCTGCTGAGGCCCTCGAATTAATAATTCCAATATAACAAGAGCGCATGACTCTGGCAAACAGGCCAAATCGTCATTTTTTGTTTGTTTTCTGGGCCCTGTATGTATTGCGCATAGGTAAAACCGGGCTATAACAAGAGCGCGTGACTATGTTAACGCATGGTTCCGGCCCCGTTATAACATGGGCAAAAGAGGGAAAAATAGCCGATTTTATGCTATAATTTATAAAATTATCAATAATTTTTTTATAATGACCGTGTTATTCAGGGCTTTAGACAGTCATATTAGATTTTGGGCTTCTGCCTCAGGCTAATATGTCAGCTCAATAAAAAGGCCATTATGAAAACAATTATTAACATTATATTATAAGACAACAATACAATCATCTTTGTAGAAAGTGTGACCTTTTAAGTGAATTGGTGTACAATGGGCACATTTGCAATAAGTATTTAATATATTCATAAAAACAATAAAAAATATATCATCTTGGTATTGGTTTGAAATATTTTAACAAATTGTTGATTAAGTCCTAAGTAATACTGTATGAGCATATATAATTATTTGAATAACAATAATATTTTGTTCTAGAACAATTTATCATCTGCCATAATTATTATATTCTATAAAGGATCATGTATCTAACACATACAGCCTCTATATATAATTTTTGTTTGTGGTTTTTTGTCACAATTGATACTAATTTATAGTAATTATCAGACCTTCCATTATTGACCACTGATCACTTTAAATGTACATGGCTGAGTACTCTAGACTAGAGTGTCAAGGTTAGCAAAAATGCTTACTGTTTACACAGCAACCTAATAACCGTATTAAACATTTAATCCGCCATACTAAAGAACTCTTAAGATTTTTAACAGTAACTTTGTTACTTAATGACAAGATATTTAGTTTGTATTTTGTTACACTTGACAAAAAACTTACAAAAGATATCCAATTTAAAAGTGTAATTATTTTCCACTTCACCCATCACTTACACAAAAAGAAGCATTTTAGAATACAACAGATTTGTACAACTAAATTAAAAACAAAATACCATATCTGGTCATAGTAAAACAAAAGAAATATATAAAATATTCTTTAAATTTCTTTCACTATTGGTCTAATACTAACCTCGGTTAAACGTTATTCAATTTTCTAATTTTTAAATTTTTTTTTGCAAAAAAACTGACCGATTCTGTTTAAACGGCTAAAGATGACACCCTTTCTCTAGATAAAGTGTATTAATTAAAGAGTTAAGATAGTTTTTTAAAATCCTAAAGTCAAATAATATGTTTACATTTATGACTAAATTTTATAATCATATTGATATTTGAAAGTACTGTTTTCAACAGAGTAAGGACTCATTTTGAATATTGTATTTGCTAGCTTACATTATTATATGTTCACTTGCTATTTCAGCATTTGAACATTCTGTTTTCAGTACCTTAATCCCTTTTGAATTGAATAAAAAATTGAGGAAGTTATTTTAATAAGAAATTATATAATAGAACTTCAGATATATTATGTTAAGATAACTATAATCATTTACTATTTTGATTTATTTCAGACAAAAAAATGTGTATTATTCCAAGCTGTACTTTTTTTTCACATTTTTGTTTAAGAAATAAATATGGTTAAAAGTTCAGTTGTAGTGATATTGTAAAATCAATGTGCGGTTATTTATTGCAGTTTTAAGTACAGCTATAGATCTTATGTTACCTAGCCAGACAGGTAGTGTTTCACCAACAACATCAATTATCCGTGTGAAAAGAGCACTAAGTCTCAGGTAAAATATATTTCTATATTATGAGTTGTACATGTACTATTTTAGTGTCAAGACTTTGATTTTACAATGATTTACTGCAAAATTCAGGCCGTTCCATCTAGCCTAAATTATGGTATTTTCCAAAAAAGACTAGCTACATGTATATTGCCCTATGAATCATTCAAAGATATACTATGCTCATCTTTGAGTAAAATATGTTTATTGCAGAAGTTTATTGAAATCTATAAAATTCTTACTGAGTATGTCTTATTTAGATAAAAGAACGTAAAACTATGTATCAGAATTACCTTCCTTATTACGGGTGAAGTAAAGCTGGTCCTTTCTTTAAAAAACTGCCAGTTTATTCATGACACTATATTTTCTTAGTGTGTCCACTTACAGTGTGTAGGATTTAAAGCTAATAACATATCTTCATTGTGTTAAGTCAAAACATTTATTTTATATGTACAAAAAGACTGTGTAGCCATTGTCAATATTTTTAAATATTACATTTGAACATAGTACATAGTGTATATCTTTAAAAGTTACATGAAATCATCTTGTACTTTTGGTGTAGAAAGTCCCTCCACTGTTGGTCACTATCATAGCTATAATTTATATAAAACTGCTTGGAAAGTTTAGAATATTATGTCTTCTTTTTCTGTAAACAATTATTTGAATTGGAGGATGTTAAAAAGAATCTGAATTAAGAAAAACATCTGCAATTCTCTTTGATACCTACCAAAATGAACTATTTTTAATTTCCAGGTATAAAACTCTTGTTGATATCCTGTTTGAAAAAACTTTGCCATATGTGATGTGGGCACGGGGGAAAATTGCCATAGCAACGGATATGTTTAGAAACTTGGTAGAAAATGAAACTGAAAGTAAGCTTTAGGCATTTATATTCAGAATGTTTTTCTTAAGTATTAAAGGGACTCCACTGAGGATTTTTGATACAACAGGAATGGAAATATTTTCGAGATTTTTACTCCATTTGATGTAAGTCTATACCAACAACTTAAGTGCAAATCAAATCATTAGCGAATGCTCCGTTTTTCCAGAATAATTATTCTTAATGTGAAAAATGGCCCAGAATTGAAAAGCGTTGCAATGTTTTTCACTCAAATCTGAATGAGAATAGCAAATGCATTCGATTTTCAATGTATATCTGAGTACATTGTTTATATATATTTCTGTTTTAAGGTCCCCAGTTGATCTATGTGAGAAATTAAAATTTTAAGTTTTAGTCTTATTAACCTCAGTGGAGTTCCTTTAACTTGAAACATGTTAAAAAAAATTGTGTTTTCTTTCTGAAATATCATGTTAGTTGCACTGTTTGCTGATACTATCTATATAATAATAATCCAATTTTACATCAAACACAAACATCAAACACTACTTTATTTCTGTTTTTGAAATTTGAAACATCAAAATTATGTGCAATAATCAATTTTATCACCAAGCAAGTGCAAAAGTTACAACATGTTATTTTATTGTTTTTATCACCATATATCTAGCAAACACTAAAGCCATGTATTTAAGTGAGATAGCTAGAATGCATGCTATTTTTGGTGACACAAAGACAGCTGAACAGTTTTATAGAGTTGCCACGGAAACAGCCTTGGAGGATTATAATGAATATAGAAGGGATAGATGTATAAATGAAGCAACAGAACAAAAACAAGTACTACTTGCTAGTATCTATGATATAGGGTAAGTAATATTATAGTGTATAACAAAATAAATCTTAAGAGGGTTTTTTTTTTACATGGAGGGACTGGAAGTATGTGGTTTTTTTTTATATTTTATACCATTTGACACAGGTCTATATCAATAACTTGTGTGCCAAATTTCAGATTATTAGCTCACTCCATTTGTCCAGAATAATTATTTTTATTGTGCAAAAATTTTAACACAAAACTGAAAGCAATAAAACTCTTTTGACTGAAATTGGGCTAAGCAAGTATAAGTTTTGAGTAATTATATAAAATGAATTTTTAAAGGGTTTTCATACTTTCTGTTTTTGTACTTCTGTTTATTCTGCCGGTAGTCCAGTTTATAGTCCTTTCACTTTGAATTGACTGTTCCAAATTCTAGGAGGGCAAATTTATAACTTAAAGTCAGCAATAAAATTATGAAAATCTACATAAAGTATGTTTGTAAATTTTAATCTTTTACTTGTGATTAACTTGTATATTTAGAGTATTAGATGAAGAGAAGGCTGTGCAATCATTCCACTTTTGGACTGGAGTGAAAAGTATTCCAACTGTGAGAACTGCAACATTAATTGCAGGTCTAGATGCTCTTCTATGTTACCATTTGTCACATTTGCCAGGTATTTGTCCTATTTTATTGTTATACTGCCTAATATACAGTCTGACCCCGGTTATTTGACAACCCTTTATTCGAATACCCGGCAATATCCAAAGTAGATTGGCGGTCCCGTTTTTATCTCTATATAAAACAATATGAATACGAGCGTATTATTCGAAATGCATTATCCGAATACCTCCTATTTTTCGAAGTTGAATTTCGGACTTGATTATACAATTATGAAAGAATTTCACACCTATTATTTTAAGCCAGCCTAATTATTATTTGAAGCCAGACTAATTGGCGCAGATCCACTCGCTGACCGGTTGACTTGTGAAATATCAACAGTCATGCGTGTATTTAGACAATCATGATAATAACTCTTTGTGTGTTCTTTATCGAAATAATTATGTGCAATGTGTCCCATTTTGTTACTGTTATTGCTTGAAGATGACAGCAATAATTTTCATAATACCGTATAAATGAATTTGTCAAACCATCCAAAACATTTTTTTTCCATTTTTATCATGATCAAAAATACCAGAGTTTAGCTGTAAATACCGTAGTGACAACACGGCCATTATCAAGGCTTTGGGCGAAACTAAAAGGTACATAATGTAGAATAAAATGCAAGTATATATGTCTTCAATGTCAATACAATAATTTTTACACATCTTTTCTTAAATATTTATTTTTCTATATTGGTTACAAAAAGTAAGTGTGTTGTAAACGGTAGTTTTGCTATGATTGGTCAAAGTCGAGTAGTTTTCGTCTATCACAATATTCAGATTTCTATTAATCGAACCCATCGATTATTCGAAGTAAATATTCAGTCCCTGGCACTTCGAATAAACGGGGTTGGACTGTAATTACATAATGACAATGTAGATTGAAAAAATATTTCAATTTTCATATCATTTGGTTTGGAAGGCACATTGTAGGTAATTGGTTTAATTATCAGCAAAATCATATCAAGAAATGTTGTACTTTAAGGTAGACCATGGGTAATGGGCACCATAAGGAACTGTAAAATTGACAACATAGGACAGTTATATGTCTTCAAGGTCACTTGTATGCAAAATTTAAATAAAATTTACCGTGTGGTTTATGAGTTATGGATATATTTCTGAACTAAGACTTTGCCATTAGAAGGGCTTATTTTCAGAAATGAGGAAACTTTAAATAATCTGTAATATCAACATTATAAAAAATGTTTTTCTATTGCTCATTGTTAAGAAACAAATAATAACATTCAGGTAACACATTACACCAGCAAAATGTTTGTTTCTAAACAAAATGTTCTTAATACGTATAAAAATGTTACCCTACCCCACCCACTTTAACACTAATTTTACCATTTCCCTATCTAAAATGCCTTATTCAAAATATCCCTTAAATTTATCGAAATGAGGGTCTGTTTTCAAAGTTTGCCTAAATTTTCTCAAAGGTTTATTTGTTGATCATGCGAAATATAAAATACTTTTACCGTGTAGTATTTATTTTATCGAACTTTGAAAATATCTGGTATCATATTTGCTATAAATTTTGGCATTATTTAGCAAAAAAAAATACCTAAAATAATTATATAATTTAAATCAAACTTTTTTTCTTCCATAAGGGATCAGAAAGATACATAAATAATGTTTAAATGAAAAAAGAAAGAAAAAAAAAAGTTGCCCCTTCTGGGGTTTGAACCCACGCCCCTCAATTTCAATGTAGTTTACAAGCGATTCTAGCCTATTTGAATACTCTTCAAAGTGGAGGTAATGCATTACCCATGGCCTACCTTAAGTTAACCTGTCACATAGCGACATGGTAAGCTTTTGTGATCGCTTTTCATCCGGCTTCCATAAAGTTTTACTTTAAACAACATCACCTCATAAACACCTAAGCCAATTTCAACCAAATTTCACAGGAATATTCCTTTGGTGGTCACTTTTAAAAATTGTTCAAAGAATTTAATTCCATTCAAAACTCTGGTTGCTATGGCAACCAAAAGAAAAAACATAAAATATATTGATATTTGGCATGAAACATCTTCTAGTGAGTGTCTACCAAGGTTGTTCAAATAAAAGCCCTGGAGTCAGAATGACTCAGATGAGCGATTTAGGGCCATCATGGCCCTCTTGTTTATACTTCACATGAATTTACTTCTTACAAATATATGTAACAATTCATGATATTACTCAGTGTTATTTCATTTCTTCCCAAGCAAGAGTTTCAAATAGTGAGACACAGTGTGCGTTTAAATTTTTTAGATCTTTGTGAAAATTGTAGGTTACCATCAAATTAACATGTATAAATATAGTTATTTATTCAACTGAAAATTTCTGATTTGAAATGACAACAATTTTTAGCTCGACTATTCGATAAGAATAAGTAGAGCTATTGTAGTCACCCGAGCGTCGGCGTTGGCGTCAGCATAACCACTTATGTTAAAGTTTTTGTAATACCTCAAATATTTTCAAAGTCCATTGAGATATGGCTTTGAAACCTTGCACACTTGTTCACCTTCATGACCCCAACCTGTAGACAGGAGGAGGTAACTGTATCAAGCATTTTGACAGAATTATGCCCCTTTTTCGACTTAGAATTTATGTTAAACTTTTTGTAATACCTCAAATATTTTCAGAGTCCATTGACATATGGCTTTGAAACTTTGCACACTTGTTCACTATCATGACTTTAACCTGTAGACAGGAGGAGGTAACTCTATCAAGTATTTTGACAGAATTATGCCCCTTTTTCGACTTAGAACTTATGTTACAGTTTTTGTCATACCTCAAATATTTTCAAAGTCCATTGACATATGGCTTTGAAACTTTGCACACTTGTTTACCATCATGACCCCAACCTGTGGACAGGAGGAGGTAACTCTATCAAGTATTTTGACAGAATTATGCCCCTTTGTTGACTTAGAATTTATGTTAAAGTTTTTGTAATACCTCAAATATTTCAAAGTTCATTGACATAAGGCTTTGAAACATGTAGAAAATTTATACTCTTCTTTGAAAGCATAATAGGACTCTCTCCAAGGCCTTTAACTGTAATATGGATTTAAAGAAAAATTTTGCCTTTTTCTTTACTTAGAAAATTTTACCTTTTCATCAAGACTTTTTTTACTATCAAGCACTAAGAATAGTCGAGCGTTGCTGTCCTACCGACAGCTCTTGTTTGTAGTTATGAACACAGTCAGATGTGGAAAAGAGATGAAATACAGTTTGCATGCTCTTAGCTTCTGTTACTGTCTAGTTACAGGTTCAAAACTCTATGACGAGGCAATTGGTAAACTTGAGAAATTGACAAAGGAGTGTCCTTATGCATTCTACTACCTGTCTATACTTCATGCACTTCATGGTACTTTAGATATCTCAACAAAACTGTACAGGGAGAGTAGGTCATGGTAGGTTGGATATATATACTTTGTAATGTAGTCCAAAATAAAATTATGCCTGTTTTTGTTGTGTATTTGTACAAAGAAACAAATTATATTATTATGGTCATGAAGAAAGGTTTATTTAGCTAATAAGTTAAAGTTTCTGAATTTATATAGTATGATGATGCCTTTCAATAATGTGGGGGGTGGGGAGGGGTTGCAGATCTCTCTTTGCATTTTCTCTCTGCCACATGTTAGTGTATCAACAATATGCTAAGGTGCACAATCCCTTTATTGAAGAAAACGTACTGCAGTTGGTGTTTTATAAAGCATTGACAAATCATTCATAACATTAAAAATCATTCATTCTTTAATCATTGATTTTCATTTGAAAAGACTTGCAAGCTATTTTATTTTTGTGATCACTTTTCCTCTTGCATCCATCTGGCCAGCCGTCTGTCTGTAAAAACCCCCAAAAGGTAGAGCTTAGATATTTGGCATGAAACATTGTCTACCAAGTTTGTTCAAATAAAAGCCCTGGGGTCAAAATTGACTCTGCCCCAGGGGGTCATTGATTTTCCTTAGATATGTATATAGTAAAAACTTAAAAAATCTTCTTTTAAAAAACTGAAAGAGCTAGAGCTTAAATATTTGGCATGAAACATCGTCAAGTGAGTGTCTATCAAGTTTGTTCAAATAAAAGCCCTGGGGGTCAAAATTAGCCCTACCCTGGGGGTCATTGTTTTTCCCTATATGCATATAATAAAAACTTAAAAAATTTTCTTTTAAAGAACCCAAAGAGCTAGAGCTAAGATATTTAGCATGAAACATGTTCTAATGGGTGTCTACCAAGTTTGTTCAAATAAAAGCCCTGGGGTCAAAATTGACCCGGTCCCAGGGGGTCATTGATTTTCCCTTTATGCATATACAAACTTTAAAAAACCCAAAGAGTTAGAGCTTAGATATTAAGCATGAAACATCTTCTGCTGAGTGTCTTCCAAGTTTGTTCAAATAAAAGCCCTGGGATCAAAATTGACCCCACCCCAGATGTACTGATTTTCCTTATATGTCTATAGTAAAAACTTAAAAACCTTCTTTTAAATTACCCATAGAGCTCTAGCTTAGATATTAAGTGTGAAATATCTTCTAGTGAGTGTCTACCAAATTTGTTCAAATAAAAGCCCCAGGGTTAAATTGGCCCGACCCGAAGGTTTGATTTGCCTTATATGTCTATAGTATAAACTTAAAAAAAGATCTTTTAAAAACCCCAAAGAGCTAGAGCTTAGATATTTATCTTGAAACATCTTCTAATGGGTGTCTACCAAGTTGGTTAAAAAAAAGCCCCTGGGTTAAAATTAGCCCGGCCCCAAGGGCTTATATACAGGTGAGCGATTTCAGAGCCATCATGGTCCTCTTGTTTTTAGCTCACCTGTCACAAAGTGACAGGGTGAGCTTTTGTGATCGCTTTTCGTCCGGCGTCCGTCCGTCCGTCCGTCGTCCGTCCGTAAACTTTTACTTTAAATGACATCTCCTCATAAACCACTAAGCCAATTTCATCCAAACTTCACAGGAATGTTCCTTTGGTGGTCACCTTTAAAAATTGTTCAAAGAATTTAATTCCATGCAGAACTCTGGTTGCCATGGCAAC